AAGCGTCAGTTTTTGCCTTTCAAACTTGTGCCACCTACTTGTATAGGGCAGATGTGCAGCAGTTTTTAGTGGGTATGCATACAGACCCACAGCTTCAGAAAACAGCTAAGGGAAGGTTCTGGAAAGGTTACTGCTGTACAGATGTGCCAAACAGCTTCATTGTTACAGCTTAACTGGAAATGGAGGGCTCTCCTTGTGGCAGCTGTTTGATCTAACCCTGAGTACAGACCTGGCACTCACAACCCTGTTACTCTTGTTGCTTTTCTGTGTGAGCTGTACATTTCCATCCTCAGTCACTGACGGCAGCCCTGCAGCACTTTTCCAGCTCTCTTACACCAAGAGGGAATGTCCACTCCTAACCCATTACTTCCACCAATTCTCAGTAGCACATCCAGAACAAATCTGCTGTAACGATTCAGAACCTTCTGAAACTACTGTGGGGAGTCACTGTATCTTTTCTGTATGCGTTAACGGCAACATCAGGCATGACCAAATTAGAAACAGCAATAGCAGTCTATCAGATTCACACAGGACTGTGATAACCCTACAGCACTGAGAGGAGGTGGTTTCTTCAAGCCTCCATCTTTAGAGTATCCATAGTGTTCCGGCACTTTGACTAATGATGACAGTCTCCTTGAGCTGTTTTCAGGTAATCCTGTCTGTACAGGCTGCCCTGGGTCTGCTCCCTGACCTGATGCTCCATCATGTGGCTGTGGGCCTCCTGCCAGCGGCTGGGACATAGCTGTGCTGCACAGCTCTGCCTTGTTGTGCCGCCTCCAAGCTCCCCCTGCTCTGGCTCCTTGTTTATAGAACTCTTGCCGCTCTCCCACTTCTACCCCAAGCTCCCTGCACAAGGAGACTGGAGATGCTGAGCTTGGAGGAAGCCCCCATCGGGTCCTGGCCACTGCAGATCCCGGGTAAAGCAGACCCTGAAGAGCGCACCGTGTGCCCTCTGCTGGCAAATCGGGGATGCAGTTGTAACAACACGCCGGCACTGTTCAACTCCCCTTCTGACTTTGTCCGTCATTCCAGCATTTGAAAGGCTCTTTCCTAAAGGAGTCCAAATGTTAAGAAAACCACACATGCCCTGACTGACATGCTTGGATTTCTTAGCACTAGAGATGTAATGACTGTGACGTATACAAATACGATGCATGCATGGATTTACCTTATTTTACAGACTTGATTTAAAATTTAGTCAGCAAAAGAATGAGGGCAGAGACGAGAGAGATGAAGATCTGTGTTATGTGATACATTCAGCTCACTCCAGCCCCTACAGCTGAATCTGTCCCTTCTTTTTCCTGACGTGTAGCACAGCAATGGATCTCTGCGTACCCCGCTCTCCTCCTTGCTGCCCCCACACTTCACACCTCACCCCCGCTCTGCTGCACAGATTCCTGCCCACGTCTATTCTCTTCACATCCAGCCCTTTTTCCTTAGAGTTATTTCCTTCTCCACTCCCAAGCAATGCCTGGCAAATCTATTTGCTTGCTTTCCCACTCACCGTTTTAGATTTCCTTTTTTCTTCTTTTTTATCTGGCAGAGGGGTGGAAGGGGGATGGAGTGGCGTGAAAACTCCTTTGAGGGCCTCCCTAGTTCAATCATAAAGCCATGACACCTGTCTGATGCGAGTGCTGCAGAACATTGTTCTCTATTTGACTACAAATGCAGAAATTTCAAAGTAAATAAGAAAACACTTACTAGTGTAATTAAATACACATTTAGGTGAGTATCTAAGAATCTTCATAGCCTTGTGAAAACCAATATATTTGCAAAATGCTTTCTCACTGACAGCAGAGCTCAGTTTCATTTGCTGCATCTCAAAAGCAGCCTCAGCACGATCAGCAAGGTTGTTTGGAAGCTCAGGTTCACAGCAGAATTCAAAATGGAATGCATTAGCGAGCTGAAAGGTTTGAAATATGACCTTGTCATTAATGAAGCTGCAGTGTATTTGAGCAACACATGGCAATTAATCCAATGGTATAACGGTTCTCTCTAATAGCAACTCCATAAAGGAAACTTGTTTGAATGATGGCTATGCAAAACCTTGAATAAACAAGAAGCACTTGCCTTGTGTTTGCTACAGGAGGCAGTGGGACTGTGGACAAACTCACTTTCACAGCTCTGACAAGCAAAGACAAATGTCTTTGGAATTTGAGGAGGAAATGTGTGTAACGTGAGGGGCCCCTCCAGCTTTCGGTACATATTTCAGCCATTTGGGAAAGATGAATCATTACATTCTTCTCTGGTTTGTTGGGATCTTGCATGTAGATTTGTACCAATGCAGTTTTTCTTTTTAAGCAGGTACTCAGTAATTATGTTTGTATAGGATTTTCCTGGACAAGATACCATGCTGATAAAATTTTCTGGTTATGTAAGTGGTCCCAGTGACCTTTCATATCTTTTGTATTTTCCCTGATTTCAGAGAACTCAGAGAATGCATTTCAGCATTTCTGAAGATTAAGCCACCAATGACCAGCCTTACACTTTCTATATTAGTTGCCATTTGACATTCAGACGATTGAGGATGCAGGGGTTTGTTGGATAGAAAACTGTTACATTTCCTATGCAGCATATTTGTCCCTTGGTGCACGTACAGAATACAGAAATCAGACACTGTGGAATCAGCCAGAAGAATAACCTCACAATCAGATATCCACTTACATCCCAGATAGTAATTCCTACATAAAGAGTTTGTCAAATGCAGAGATCGCTAAAAAACAAATCCTTATTCTGAAGGAAGGGAAAAGACAGCAACAGGGACTGTCCTTTGGAAGACCTGCAGTAGTGGGGCTCCCATGTAACCAAGATCACCCTTTTCTAAGACTTTTCTAAGACTTTGTACAGACTTTCCTAAGACTTCTCTGTTTCTGCTGCTGGCACACGCGGCTCAGGAGAAGCAGCCAGGAATGTTTGAGCTGAAGAGAGAAATTCTCCCTAAACTCTCTGGCTTTCCGAGGTAATTTAAACTGCCTTCAGTTCACAGCAGCAGAAGCCTATCTGCAGAGGCTGTGTGCCTCGAGCTGCAAGTAGAACGTGCTGTCAAGAAAGCAGTGACCAGATTCATCAGTGTAACTGCAGCGAGGAAAAAATTCAGTAGTAGATTACATAGCAGAATAACAATTCCTGGGTAGCAGTTACTGAATTGTCTGATGTATCAGCTAATGAGAGGCCAAGGTTCCCTGGCATCCCAGAACATTCTGTAGTAGTGGATCTGTTCAGATGTGTGGTTTGGCAGCACATTAGACTTCTAAGAGATCAGGATTTTCCCAGACTTTTTCAGCTGGTAAGTGCATCCAGTCAGCTGTCCTCAGGATTTCTGGCCTTTCTGAGAGCAGTCAAAGTTAGAGCTCTGGTAATCTCAGGATGTAAGCAGCATCCCCAGGCAGGGCCAGAGCCCTGTGGAATGGGGTCAAAGAAACATGATTACTCTAGAAAATAAGACAGCGTGGAAGACAGCGTTACTGTCTGGAACTGTCGTTACAGATAAGAGCCTCAGCACTCAGTGGTGAACTCTGTGCCTGCTCCTCACTTGTCTCTGCAAGTCAGCAGAGCCAGGACATTTCTGCACTACTTGCTGTCATTAGCTGGAGGAGTCTTGTGGGAAAGCAGTGTGTAGATACAGGTAATCCTCTAGAGGCAGTTATACAGAGATGTGTTAAGAGATCAGGATGACTTAACTCTTACTGAATGCTCCTCACATATTATTCTTAAGGCACAGTGCCAACATCCTCCAAAATGAATCCCATAAAGCCCTGTAGTTTCAGAATGTGAAGCTCATTATGTTCACACTAACAAACAAATACAGTGCTAACAGATGCAGATGTACTGAATTTGGCAAGAAACAGTTAACTTATGACTTACTACTGGAGTTATGATTTAGTAACAGTCTGCTGTGAAGCACTGACATAGAAAGAGCGTTTTTGGTAGAATAAATGCTGTCTTTTTTAATGTTTTGTGTTCCTTCCTTCATTTATACTTTTCATCAAAAAGATCGATAATATCCCACAGACATTAAAATAAAGCTGAATCTACAGAACAGAGCTCCAGCTATCTGCTGGATAAGCAGACTTTCCCTTCTCCTTAAAACAATGTTCCAAATTACTTTCTTCATACAACTTTCTCCTGTGTCCCAATTTCACCTATGTGAAGCTTTCTTCACTTTTCTTCTGGATCTTCTTTAGCACCTTACCTCCTCCTCTCACCCTGCCTCGGCTCAGTCGATCATTTTAGTAGCAAGAGTCCCCACTTTTACAGAAAGAAAACCAACACGATCATAAAAGGGAAAGATAAAGAAACGTTAAAAGACTACTTTTAAAGTTATGATGATAGTTCAACACCCATTTCTAGCACTGCAGTTTAAAGCCCCAGAGGACAAAATCACAATCACAGCACTGTTGCTTTTCCTTTTGTCCTTTCATTCTAACATATAAACCCAGGACAAACTCTTCCTCTTCCCCCCTTCCAAATCGCAGTGTGCATCAGGCAAACCCGCTTATTTGTGATAGCTGCCTTGTTCTTTGTTCCCCTGCACCAAGGGGAATCTGTTGAACCACAGCAGTGACTGATGATTGAGGGAAAGACCAGACTTGATTAGAAACTGCCAGCTAGCAGTAAGTAACTGATGCAGCTGGTTACTCAGGCATCCCAGACAGCAGGTTAGTATGGGCAGACATAGCAAGACAGCCTGGCAGACCCAGGCACTGACCCCATCCACACATGTTCTCAGCATGTTCTGTTGATTGAGAAAAAGGGGAGAGGATGATGCTTTCCACCCTATGTTTTCATTTTTAGCTCCGCCAAGAAGGATTTCCCTTATCCAAGTCTGCACCACCTGCACAAAGCAGCTCCATTTCTCTCACCTTAAAATCAAACTGTCCTTTATTCTGTCTTTGCAATTTCCATTTCTTGACACAGTTACACTAAAACTGTCAGTGGAGGAAACTTCACTAACATTACAGAGAAAGACAATTTTCCTCAAGACTGTGTGTGTTTCTGGAGTGAAGAAAGAAGTACATTACACTGCCAAAGTGGTGGCACCAATGGCTCTAGAGGGACAGTGGAGCTGAGCCCTGGAGTTGCTCAGTCTTGGAGTTGGATAGGACTGTGCCTGCAGATACATGAGAGATGTGAAAATCACCTATAGCAGCTGATCCGTTTTTCAGGAAAGATTAAAGTACCGCCTGATTCTTCAGCTTTATTGTATGCATTAACTGACCACACTGTGGCACATAAAATCCAATTACATACTATAGTATAACTGCTGTTTATTTTATGATTAGCATAGTTTATGAATGTGAATCAGTCTATTTTAATCAGAGCCAACAAAGAAAATAATGCTGTTTTCTATGCTGGTATCCCAAATATTTATATGAAAATAAGCAAACGCCTTGCAGGCTTAAAGGTCACTAATTGTGATCACTAAATACCTCTTCTCAGGCAATACCCTTATCATTAAAGAAAATGCTTAATTAGGCAGAATTGAGCGGCTATAATTTAAAAGGAAAATTGAGAAAGGCATTGCAGGGTGCTTGTATTAAACGTACAGCAAAAAAATAAACACTTCTGGAAAGAAAGTGTATTTCCAGAATCTTAACCCCTTCCGTGCCCCTTCTGTTGTTTTTTCCCCCTTGGTTTGCCAATGCAGCTGTGAACTTTTTCTGTCATTGAGAGTCCTTCAAGGGATTCCATCAAGGAAGATGGCATTTGAACAGACCAGTATGAAACTACTCATACGTGATCCGCTGCCGGTGACCTCTGTTCGATTTTTACTTTCTGAAATGTTTCAAGATTGATTGGTGAAAATTTTTACTTTTCATCACATTTTGAATAATGAGATGCTGTCTAATTCTTGGTGATATATTTCAGCTATTAACTTTCTGCTTGTTGAAAAGAAATCGGAATACTTTCAGTTCTGAAGTTTGAAGGCATTGTGATTCTGTCTGATGTTAATGCTGTCTGGAGATTTCTGTGACCAATTACTTCCATGAATGCCATTCTATGCTGCCATTTCTTTAGTGTCCCCGATTTATCTCTCAGAGCCTTTATGACTTTACGTTTAGCTGTTATGGAGAAGCAGAGCAGGTCATGTGGTTACCCAGAGGCATTAGTATGGTAATTTTCTTCAAGTTGAGTAGGTGGAAATAATTAATGGACCGCTTTATTGATGTACATAGATAGCCGATTCTCTCTGTGGTTTCAATTCCCAGCTTCAATAAAGTAGCTTGAGATTTTATCTGAGGGACCAGTAATTACACAGGACAAGAATAATCACTGCACAAATACAATTTGATTGTGTTTTATGCTGTTGCCAGGGCTGATGTTAAAGCTTAAATGTATAAACAAGGAACTGCTGCATTAATAAGTTGACTCTTCGTGTTTAAGCTCACAGACTCTGGAGTAACTTAAATTCAGAAAATCTGTGCTCTTACAAGAGGAAGTTCCAATCTTAGCGTAACACAAAGAATTTCACTGTCTCACCTTGACTTCATCTTGTGCTATGAACAGTGACCAGAAGCAGACTCCTTGGGGAAGATAAGCACCTTCTGAGCTGTACTTCCTTTCACTTCCAGGAGGATATTGAGGCATTCCCCGGTTCAATGATATCTGCAAAGCCATTTTAATTAACATTTGATGGAACATCAATGAATTTGCAATCACCTTATCCTGTTTATAGGAGTGACAGCAAAACAAACTCTAACAGACAGCTCAATTTTTTTGGGGGGGGGATGGTAAGGACAAAGCTACTTCCACGTGTCCGTTTGTCTGTAGCCCTGCAAGGAGACCCCTGAAGGACTCTTTAAGGAGGGCTCTTTAAAAATGAAATGATATTTGCGACTTCTCATCCCTGTGAGACAGCACAGATTTAAATGATGACTCTGACAATTCAAGTCACCACGGTATTCACCCATGATTTCTGACTGACTCCAGTGAATTTGTTTGTTTTATCAGTTTATATTAAAAAACATTTTTCCAGTGCTTGAATTGGAGGCGGTTTCTCAGATTCGTTCCCCATAAAGAAGGTCCTGTGTGGGAACATCCCTAGGCACCTCTGTAAGCAGTAAGGAAAAGAATTGATAGAGCTTTGCTCTGTGTTATCTTTCATGTGCTTCTTTTACAACTTCATCATCAGGTGGCCCTACAGACACAGGCAGGATCCTTGCCTCTTGCACACTGAGGAAAAGTTATTAGTGGTTTTTATGCCGTTAGAAAATTGTTCCTCAGTATCTTCTTTTGACTTGCTTTACTTTAGTTTTATACCTAACATGTCAGAGTTTATTGTTCTTTTTTACAGTAAGTGCCTCACAGCAACTCTTCAGAAAGCACCTCAAAAATTCCAGTTAAGAGCAAGATGCAGGAACAGAACAGGACAGAATGCAGAAACTTCTGTGTAATTCAGTTCTCCATAGCCAGAGAAATTATGTGGGAGACAAGTCTTAACTGTCACAGCCATTTCATCACCTACACCTTTGAGTCCAACATCATTTTTTACTACGATGAAGTAGTATTTAGGATGTAGAGCACATCCCTCTGATCCCATGCTACACAACCTCTGCCCCCTCTCCCAACACAGAGCTGCTGCACCCTTAGAGATGCTCAGAAGCCGCCTGGAGATGAGTGGCTCCTCCTGAGCAGGGAGGTTGGATGAGGTGACCTCCAGGGCTCCCTTCCAGTCTCATCCAGTCTGTGGCTGTGTGACATGGATGTGCACTGCTGGATGTCCAACACACGCTGTGGGCAGCATGATTACAGTCTGTGAGTTCATGGCGCATACAGAAGGGCACCTTATTGGGCACTCTTCCTTCTCTTTTCCTCTTCAGATGTATTTATTCAGGCAAATATTGGTGTATCAGTGGGAGAATAGCATTCAACCCTGACTGTATTGTTCTAGTTGTTGTTATGCATAGGTTTGGTAACAGCCTTCAAAATCCCACGTTCAAGCACATTCATACATCTCAATAAAACTTCTTCCCAGTAAATTGGAAGAAATTCTGTCAGGAGAAATGTGAAGACATGACACTGGTCAGGGCAAAACTTGTCACCTTTTGTCTGTGTAATGTGCTGAGAAGCAAGCTCAAGCAATGTAAGTTTAGGATGATTTATAAAGATAGAGATGACACGATCACTATATAGCAAGTTCTGGCAGAATGACCAGTAGCTTGAGAGCCCTGTTAAATGAGATCATAAACTGCTGTGTGGGCTGCATGCAAACCAGCTTGGAAAGGAGCTCCTGTGCGATGCAGGTGCCAGGCTGCTGTCAAGAATGCTTCAGAGGTCCACACACAAAGGTGCATTGCATCCCCACTCATACGTGACTGGATTTCTATGGACACACAGTGCAGGTAACTGTGGTGAGGGAGAAACTATTTCATTAATGACTTAGTCTCTACTAGAACATTGCCTGATGGAACAAAAGCTGAAATAACAAAAGAACAACATTTTGCTGCTCTCCCCCTAGTAGAATCTTGTCTTCTAGTTAACCTGGAATAATAGAATAATGACTATTTTGCTATGTTTTCCTAGATTCACCTACTAATTTCTTTAGACTAGACAGTGAATTCGGCACTCATTTTTAATTTAAACCTTGATGTTCTACATAAATACTTCTGGAAATTTTTCATTGTGCTTCTGAACACTTTTCTAATACTCTGAGCATCTAAGAAGCAACACTAATCACTTTAATTTAATATAATTACTGATTAATATTGCACAATGTCACTATCCACTGGTTAACCAGGGTGTTCAGTCACCCTTAGGTCACCCATAATTAATTAACCTTCACTTGAAGCATAAGCAATCTTTCTGATCCCAAAGAAAAGTTTGCCAGCGTTGTACTTTTTGTTCAACCACGTATTCATAGGTGTATCCAGAAGTAATGCTTCCAAATATTTCCACAGAAACTACCAAAGCTACAAAGGCAGGATAACACTGTCTATCTATTAGAGCAGATTCTCACCTACAAACACTGTTTTCAACACAGTCACCACCATTAGCTGTACATTTTCTCCAGCCACCAACAAGAGCTGTGTGCCACACTGGTAGCAATCTGCAGCAGCAGAGGTGGCCCAGAGCTGTGACTGCTGAAATGCACCACTGCCCCTCTCTGCGCCCACATGCCCTGCTTGGTTTTCATCAACATCCAATTGGAACTTTTTTTTAACAAGATATTTGACAGAGGGTTCATGGTGTGCATTTTTCTTACAGTTATGCTTTATTTTAACAAATTCTAGTAAACCTGACATTTTTTAAAAGTGAGTAAAAAGGAATGGTTTCAGTCTAATGACACACTGTGTAAATTTACCGTAAGGACAAATGAGCAACATACCCATCACTAAGTAAATATTTGATAAAACTAACAGCAAAAAAGCTATTTGTGGCTGAATTTGGGATTATAGCTACTCAAACGTACACCTTCTTTCCTGGTACAAATGTGTAGGGAACAATATGCTTTGGTCTTTGTTTAAGAAGTTCTAATATCAAGTGCTAGACGGATTTGCCCGTTTTCAGTTTCAGTGTGTGCACGCAGAACGTATGACAAGTCTGATTACCTGGCTGTCTGCCTTGTGTCGATCTCTCTAGGCTTTCCAGACTTTTCTTGAACTTGCACTTGCTTTATATTTTACAGTTCCCTCCTTTTGGGGTTTGGTGAACTCAGCTTGGAATCTTTGCTCTGTTGGGAAAAGGCAGTCACCCGTCAATATCGAAACCAGCCATATGATTTTTGATCCATTCCTAACTCCGCTTCGCATCAACACAGGGGGAAGAAAGGTATGTGCTCTTTGTGTTCTGCTATAAAACCAAGAAGATAACAGGGAGTTACGTGCTACATATCTGGGCACGGGACAGGCAGTTAAAAATGATCTAGTTTCTGTGTAATCCAGACAATGCTGGCACTGAGATTGATAAGGATGAATCTTCTATTGGATATATCCTGCCATAAGTTAATTAGAAAACAAAACGACAACATTTACTTTAATAGATCTGAAGTATACCTTCCAAGAATAGTTGATCAAATGAAAGACAGGCTGGCAAAGATGAGCTCAGCTATAAAAAAAGTCTTATTCAGCTAAAATTAGCATGATAGTTTCCTTTGAAAAGCGACTGCCATAACTGACTAGCTTATAACCTCTGTTCTGATCAATAATCTTTTTAAAAGATATGCATGGAAACCGTCCTGTTTACCCAGATTTGGGTATCTGAATAAAATGCTGTGTGAAAGCAGAGCCCTTTCTGATACACTCACGTGCCCACGTGTGGCTCAGGAGGTGGACTGCTGGCACACAAAGGTAGAGGCAGAAAGCAAACTTGATAAATAATTCTGCTCAAACTGGTGGAGATTGTTGTCTGAGGTGTGCATATGTGCCAAAATATCACTGATAGGTCCTCATCACTGATCTTTTTTTACTGCATCTAAGTTATCATAGGAGCTAAAATTTGTCTAAAAAGGTATTTTAAAGATTTGTTGCTTATTGTAGGCAGACAGTTCTCTTCTGCTGTTCAGTTTTCTGCAACAAAGAACAATGCAAATGGAAAAACGCTGTGACTTACAATGCTGGAACAAGCAGAAACTCTAACAAAAGGTTATTCGAAAATGATTTATCTTCTCCCGTTGTCTTGACAAATGAGATTTCTGCTGGAAACGCCATGAGATGGGAATATGCTCTGTGTTTCCTATTGAGCTTCTTGTGGTACAAGTGCACACACAACAGAATTGATGTAAACCTCCTTACAGAAGTGAAAAAATGGTGGTATTGTTACTTACTGAAGGACAGTAGTGCTTCCAGCTGTGGTCCACGTTTCAGGGGAAAATGTGCTTTTTGCCTTTTATGCAGAACTGCATTGGAGCCTTTCTTTCTATTAAAAAAAAAAAAGACAACAAACGTATTGATTCAAGCATTTATATAAAGAATGACATCTTTCAGGTTATTTATAAATTACAGAATGATGTAACATAAAGTCAAGAAAGAAACGACATGTAAGCGATCACTGAGCCAAAGCCAGGAGTTTCAGGATATGCAGTGACTGCAGCGGTCCTAAGAATTCAGCTGGGTTTTGTGCCAGTTTGGGATGAAGGAAGTGTCTGATTATTAATAAAATATCAGAGGCACTGAGGGCCTGGAGATGTTGTCAGAAATGAGATGTCCTTGTTGCACTCAAATGCTGTCCTGCTGCTGCCAGGTGGTGATGGCTTTCTATCGTGCTATGAGAACAGGATTTGTTCTAGTTGTGGTTAATCTTTTTTAGAGGGATTTCTAAAATGGCTGAATCAAAATGCTCTTTTAAGGAAAAGCTGCCTTAAGATAATTCTTTCCTCATAGTTAAGGCTTCAGTGAGGAGGTGATTTGGCAGGCAGCATGTTTATGCTCACTCTTTGTCATGTTTCTTATAAAGTGGATGTATGTTTCTTATGGGCTGAAGCACTTCAGTTTTCAGGGCAGTGAACCAGTTGGTACGGCAGCCAAGGAATTTCTATGACAAGACTTGACTGTAATTGTGTTGTAAACTAAAGGGTTTTATGGAACTGATCCTAAGAAAAAATGATGAATTAATAAAAAAGGAATTTGCAGGTAGGCACACAGAGGCAAAATTATGCACATCTTTTTGAAAAGGGAGCTGGCAGGAATCGTGCTATATGAGAGCAGGTAGATGGAAGGAAGCCTTCCACCTGTCTAGCCCCTTCCATCAGAAAGTTTGTTTCAGTATTAGTAATGGAAGCCACTTTGGAAAACCATATTGGTTTTCCAACTGCAACTTTTTAGACCACTTGAGAATTAAAAGCTGTATTTTCTTGTTCCTAAAGAAAAGTGAAGGTCTAAAAGGGGAGTACAAACGAACAACATTGCCATCCTCCTACCCCAGTGCCAGCAAGGGGAGAAGAGTGCAGACAGTGGCCGGTTACAAAGCAGATGACTTAATAGATAATGCTGACCTGAGGCTGAGAAGAAACTTCTTCCCAATCCATTCAGGAGCAAATGGGATGGCAATGTAATTTGCTAAGTAGATAAACCTCTTTTGATCCAATTTGCACAACAAAGTTCCAGAGAGCAATGGTAATATTGCTTTATGTGCTGTTAAACCATCGCAGTGCAGTATCAGCTCATGCAATTTACAATTCAAGTATAGTCAGATGTTATTCTGAATTGTGCTATGTTATTTTGTATGTTTGTGCTTCTTAATTTCCTGAGAAAGTGGCTTTTCAGGTCCTCAAGGCTGAATATCATTGATACAGTTAATTGGATTTCAAGATCCAGAATCTGAGCACAAGATATTTAATGAGTTTTACATGCAGATAAATTCCCCAGAATAAATGCTGCTTTTGAGGAAACTCCCCAAGTTTCAGCTCTGTCTCAGGCCCAGTTTTGTCTCTTGATTATCCGTTTTAGTGAATTGAACATGCAGCCCTTTTCAGATAAACAACCCATTTTAATAAACAATATAAACTCTTATTAATATGCAAATCACACTTCTTCACTCTGTCACAAAGAAAAATATAGACTTACTTTCTCTACTTTTTCCTTTGGATTCAGCAAGCACTGAGGCACCCAGCAACAACTGCAATACAGCAGGATAACTTCCCTGCCGAGCTGCTGTGACAGGCAGCAAGCGCTGCCTCCAAAGCAGAGTTTCCAGCTCTCATGTAGGTACTGTTGCTGGCAGCAGATGAACAAACCACCCCGTTGTGCACAGTCCTCTGCTGGGATTTCCTCCCTCATTCACCACTGCTGGCAGTATCTTTTCCACAAGATCTCTGCCTTCGTTCCCCAAAACTCGTTCCCTGATCTCCTGTAACCCATCTCATCTCCTGATTTTCTGTGGACTTACTTTGAAGAACCCTATTTCCAAGGTTTTTTAAGAGTAAATTTTCTGAAGCTCCAGTTAGGTGAGAAGCAGTTATAGACATGCAAACATAGTACTCTGTAAATTTAGAGCAGAAGTTTATCGTGGCTCTGCACATATTGGTCCAAAGCGGATCTGCGAGGTTAAGCTTTGCTGCTGTCTTGATTTGCATTCTACAACCCATAGGGGACATTTTGTTTTGCAAACCTCCTCACATTTAAAGGAAAACTTAGATTTCCCTTAGAAATTTGTAAATACGTGTGTGTATGAAACAGAAACAAACAAGAGGCCTTGGAAGTATTCTAAATGAAATCAAGACTGAAAGGCAGCAGCAGAAATACCTGTGATGGTAGAGGCTACATCTGTGCCCAGCTGTATGCATAGGATTAAGAGCTTGAATAGCTCACGGAGCAGCAGAGCAGGGCCGTGCTTTGTTGCAGCTGGAGCAAGAGATCAGCGTGCGATAAGCTGGGCTCTGTGTGCCACTGTGTGTCCCAGGCACGGCTTCACCCACCTGTGATCTCCATGTGTGCCACTTCTGCCTTTAGATTCTCAAGTTCTTGGCAATAGTGTTCTCAGCACAACTGATGGGTTGTTAAGATTTCTTCAGGAAATCTTTTTTTCCATCTAGCATGAGCTTTGTTTCTTAGCAGTTCTTGTCCATACTTTTTTTCCCCCTTCTAAAAATTTGTTAAGTAACACATTTATTAGACACAAAGTGAATCTTGCCAACTAATTTACCTTGTAAGCAATAACCTGTGTTGTAATCATTTTAGGTCACGCTTGCAGGCTTAAAGCAGCAGTTGAAAGCAGGTAAAGTTTGTTTAAAACCACTTTAAGATGAGGAAGAACATTGTGTCTGAGGAAACAAGCAGCTCTGTGTCTGCTGGCCAAGGGCTGTTCTGTGCTTTCTGGAGCTCAGTGTGCTCAATTAAAGCTGTTCAGTAAAACCCATAAGTCTGCTTCCTCATATGGGGCATTAATGAATGCAATCACATATTATTTAAATTAATATATTTATAAATAATGGGTTCATACTATGCATCACAAGATAATGGCAATATTTAGCAATTTCTAAACTAAAAGAGTGAGAGAAAAGAGATTTATGAATTGAAATCAGCTAAATGGTTTCTCTGCCAGCTAGTTCTGATTCCATGCTGTTCAATCAATTCAGAGTATTACTGGCATTTTTCTCAAGAGTGCAATATATGACAACCGCCAAGCTTTGCTTTGGTGATTGCTAAAAGGACAGACACTGGTCTGAGCCATATTTCAGCACTGCAGGAATATAAAAAATGAATTGTTAGAAATGGTCCAGGAGGAATGGGTAGCAATAAGACATCAATGTCACCTGTAAACTGATTTGTGATGAATTTTTAGAGAGCTTACTAATATGATGTTTTGATTTAAAGAGGCTTTAGAAAGTCAAAAATCTACTGCAAACATCAACAGCCTTAATGAATAAAAAAATGCATATAGTGTTGCTGCTTAAATAGTTTTCTGATACAGTAATAAGTGAACAGAAAATTAAAGTAGCAGGTTAAAGTAACTGCTGCATATTAGCCCTCATCACTCAGTATTTAGAAAAGGAAAAAGGGCTGAGCACTGCTTCAGAGTTATTTAGGGAAAAGCTTTTATCTAGAGTCTGGATTTGTCTCTAGTGGTGTTACTGTTTCCTTATCACTTCAGTGATGGAATCAGTTTGGAACGTGGGGACTCAGATGGGCACCTTTGTGTTTCCCTAAATTTCTGGATGCTGATGGCAGTGGAACACCACTGAAATCATGAAGGAGACCTGAATGGCACTGGCATGCATTTCTGCATCTCCTTCACACCATCAAGGTTTTGTGGCTTCAGTACAACTCCTCTGCCTGCCTTTTAATCTGGTCCAGTGCCATAAAAGAAGCTCACTTTTCTGCCATAGGAAACTTCCTCAGAAATGCTAGATACAGCAGTAAGAAACCATTTGGAGGGCTTACTCCACAAGCTATATCGTACTCTGTTTTGGAGCTCAGGATACACTCTGATTTTAAGGACAGCCTCTTTTTAAAGGCTCATGAGATTGTATCTCAGCTGCAGTTGTGTATCAGTTAAAAGCAGAAAGGATTTAAGGACAAATTGTGTTTCTTGACTTCCTTTGGATGTGTAGGGAAAAGGAATGGGTGCATACCCTTTACCCCCATATACTTTCCACTGTGCCCCAGCCAGTGACTGGAAGCAGCATATCAACATCATAATCTGATAGTACTAAATTGCTCCACTTGCATTCTGCAGTCCTGTTTGCTGCCATGCAAACAGTGAAAAGAAATACATCTCAGAGATGAATCCAGATCGCAGCAGCTTCCAGGGCTACGCCAAGGGCAGTACAGCTGTGCTGAGGTGGCACATAAAAGCTCCTTTGAAGACACTTTGCCTTAACTAAGAATTTAACCTTAACCACATATTTCATCCAGTCCTATTTCATCTAGGAGTACTTAAGACCTCTTCTCAAAATAGTGTTCAAATGCACTGTGCAAAGAAACCTTCAGAAAAAAACAAAGATCAAAAACGTGCATTGTTTTTGATATCATCACAGCCCTTCCACATATGTGCATTTTTGTGTTTAGTTTTGTAAAGCATATTATTTATATGATGGACATAAATAGCTACTTTGGAGTGACTGCAACTTTTGATGCCAATGTCAATTCATGATCTCTCCTTTTAGTGTGTTATTAAAAGTGACAGTCTGCCATAGTCCCAGTACCCTAAAGATGAATTGGGATATAAATCTCTGCCTGATACATTAGGGGCCATTTACCAGGTACTGCTCAATTAGAAGTCCAGAAATGCTGCTATACAGACCTCCTGGAAGGTTGCCAAAGGAGAGATTTGAATGCTGGAGAGAGAAACTGCACCCAGAACCTCACTACCACGATGGATTTGACACACACATAAGGCAGTGCTATTGAAGAGACTCAATTCTTTAGCCATCCAACAATAAATCTGTGTCTCTAAATCTCAACTTCAGGCTTAAACCTCTGGCACTTTATCTTGTTTATTTGACATCTTCTCACTATAAGGAAGTTATTGTCTACTCCTGGCAAGATGAATGTCGTATCCAGGGTCCTTGTAGAATTACACAAAACTCCTTGGTGCAAGCCTATACGCACATAAATGCATATATACAAAAGGATATTGTTTGGAAGTGCAGCAATGTATGCCAGCCTCTATGCCCAAATTTCAGATGGAATCATCCTCTATTATGATGTAAACTTTTGTACCATGTTAGTACCCATTTGTCATTACCCAGGGGTCTTTGGTGTCACCAAGGTGCCTATGTATTTGTGGTACTAGTTTGACCTTTCTGGAGGCCTCTTTGTGGCAAGAAGTTATGCAAGTTTCCTGTTAACACAAATTGTTCCCTATACTGCAGAAATAATGAAGCCCAGTTTCCTCTGGAATCACATTTTAGCTTCTTTATAGCCTCTGTACCCTGTTATCACTTCACTTCACAAATACCCTCCATTACAAGGCAAAGACAGCAGAGCTGTGGCTATTTCCAAGCTCTTTGTGACAGCCAGCCTGCAAATGCACCTGCTGATTGCTCAATTGACTGCTGCTAACAGCAATCTATAATACCTTAGTTTTACCTGCCTTTCCCTCAGTGCAAAATTAGTTTGGCTTCTTATAGCCAATTTTAACAGAAAACCTAGATATCTTCTTCTTTGTCAAAGTTGGATGAAACTGGCCAGCAAATACCGCAGTTACTGAAAGGAAAGTAGAAAGCAGGTTACAAAACAGTTTGTTACTGTTATAACGAAATTTTTGTGGCATTTTTTGTTATAGGCATCTTATTGAAAGCCATATCTATGAAGGCAGGAAGTATAGAAGCTAAGAATTCCTGCACCAAACAAGGAATTTCACAATCCTTACTGTTGTGATAAATTGAAGATAGAGAGTCAAGTCTGGAAAAGTCTTCCAAGTTCCATTACAAACTGTATTGTAATCTTTGGAATGCAGAAGGGCTACCGCACTCATTCTGAGCAAGGTCACAGCTAAAATTCTCTTACAGTCTTGTGCTCTCACAGGCCAAAGATACACTACAGGAGAATCTGCTCAAAAGTACCCCAGCTAGCTCAGAGGAGAGCAAGCACAGGTATGAGCTCAAATTATGAACCTGAGCAGGTGCTGCACAGCTGGCCAGGAGCTACAGGTGGGCATCTCTGCATTGGTCTCAATGGTTTGGGAGAAACTCTTGCCTCAATAGCTCAAGTTATTTGAGTGGACTGATATTTTTCCAAATGTCATGTTCTTTAAATGCTGTTTGAAGTTGAAGGTTTGCTCAGTTCTCCTTGGAATTTCACTGCAAATATCACCAAGATGTTTGTATGTGTCCAGCTGCTATATGACCTCCTGTTCTTGCTCTCCCAGAAAAGTGCAAAGGAAGAAGAAAAATTGTTGCACATGAAGACTTAGACCAGTGTTGTGATAAATATTCACCACTGAAAACAAAGATGTAATGCCCTAATGAAAGGACCAATTTCTAACATGCTGCAATTACCATATTGCATGTATATCTGCCTGGACTGTTAACAATTACCTCTCATCCTCTAAAATATGAAATCAGAAACACAGTTGTGGATATAATCTTCAATAAAGACCTCAGAATTTCTTCTTATTAAAGCCTATGCCAATGAAAACTCCTGCAACATATTGATAAGAATCTAGAAGTCATTGCTTGGATCTACATCATTCTTTGGGTAAAAGCCTGGTTTCATTTGCAGATCTGTGATAAAGCTGATCACAATGAAGCACTCTCAGTCCAGCCTCCTTCCTCAGCTAGTTCTGGGCTTTCTTACTGTCTCGTTGGCAGAATTAAACATTTTTGGCCAATGGAATTTTCTCATGTTCTCTCTTCCACTTAGGCTTCTTTTCCTCAAAATGCTTTAGCTGTAAAATTACATGCCCATTTCAACCTCTAGAATTGTTTGGCCAGTAGTGTTTGTCCTTTTGTGCACCATTGTCCTCTGCATAAGTAATCATGTGAATAAAGGGATGTGCATTGAGCCACGTAGGAAAGAGGTTCATAAAGAGAAGAACTGCTAGGAAGTGCAGAATACATGCCAGCACTTAACTTTTCTTCCTGCTTCGGCCAGATACCATTAGCAGGGTTAACACTACTTTTTCTGTGAGCAACATGGAGGTGTGTATAATCAACAAATATAGGATGTCATAATTAAGAAATATACAAGAAAGTTAAGCTAAACAGGTTATCGTGCTAAAGAAGAATGGATGGAAAGCTTACCCTTGTCCTGGGTTCACTGAGAAGACTCAAAGAGGAGCAATCTCTAAAAGAAATCCTTCCCCCCTGGGAGTCAGCTCTTAAAAGGTGTCTTGGAGAGGTGGAGCAAGGCCTTCACCTGCTCCCAGGGCTGACTTTTTGCTCATCTCAGGTTGTCAATTGGTTCAGGCTGTGATTCAGCAGTTCCCATGCAGAGGTGTTTACTGGAGAGATGTGCTACTGAGCTGCAAGTCAGTGCTCTATGGCATGGGAACCTGCAGCAGCCTTTAGCTGAACACCCCTCACTTAAATTAGGAACAGTATTACAGCATCTGGTGTATGTAATGGGGGAGTAAAACAGCTGTGCTGGATGAAATATTGAGTCTGGCAAATGATTACAACAGAGTTTATAAATATTACTTTTAGTCTGCCTGCAGTCATTGTTTAACAGCAAGAGAAGACAGAGAGAAAGGGGCAGACAGAGAGAAGAGTTCTGCACCTGAAATTCCACGAAAAGGAGTGATACATCAGTCGAGTCCAGATTTCCTTAGAAGGTAGATCTCTTGAGATGTGATGGAATGAGTGTCCTGTACAACCAGAGTGTCTATCAGTCACATTGGCACAATGGGAAAGCAATTTCTCAGAGAGCACACATACAATTTTTCTGTGATTGTTCTCAAGTGTTTGATGATGGAGGGAGTTTTAGCAACAAATCCTTTACTGTAATCCTAGGAGATATCTTGAGATAAAATTGTGCATCACAATCTTGAGGTAGCAGTTTGGGAGAGGTTTCAGCTGCCCTCCACAGTCACAAGTTATGAAACCAGAGACTTCTATAATGAATTGGCAGCAGAACAGAATATTATCATGGAATGAATACAAGGAGAAAGATAATAGAATGTTTGCATGACATCTGTGGGAAGAGGGGAATTATAGCTGACATTCAGATCAACACATTATCACCCACTTTTCTTCGTGAAACTGTAGGGGAAGAGTTGTTGAAGCTCTGTAGGATGACTGTATGGGAACTGCTGAGTCACGGCCTGAACCTCTGATGGATCACCTGAGGCGAGCACTGAGCCAGCCAGAGGAGCACAGGTGAAGGCAATTCAGCTGTGCTGCTGGAAGGGGTGGAGCCTGGCTGCACCTCTTCTAGGCCTATTTAAGAGCTGGCTACCAGTGGGGAAGCATCTTAATATTAATTGATTATGCAATGACTTTGCATTGTTCTGTAGAATCTGAATCTATTCAAACAGTGCTTCTATTTCTAAAGCTTCCGTGTTTTGGGAGCGTTCTTTAGTAGTTACCATCATCTTTCCAACCCAAGTAGTTGTGTTAGACGAGGTATTGAGTCTGTCAAGTTATTACAACAAACTTTACCCGACTGCAATTATTTCTTAATAGCAAGAGAAGATAGAAAAAGAGTTTTGTACATCAAATGTTACAAGAAAGAATGATAATGATGCTACTGTACAGTGAGAGTGCATGAGGACCAGCATCCAATTAGAGCACGTAGAAACTAGCTGCAAACAGAAAGACAAGTGGAACAGCAATTCCTGAACGAGAATGGTTCTCGTCTCAAGATCTGCCATTGTAGCAAGAGCCCACATGGCATTAAAGAGATATATTCTGCAATTTTTTAGCAAGATGAAAGTTACATTTCATTAAGTTTTTATGGTATTTTGAGACCAATCAATAAGCTTTACTACCTGCATCCTCCATTGCCTCTTTGCAGCTCAGTGGGCTATCAGCTCTCTTTCTAGATGTGCTATGGATGTGCAATCACACTTTATTTAATGACTAAAATGGACACCTTTGGTGATAACTGGTTCTTCAGTAAGTTATATAATTGTTCCCAGCTTAGGCAGCCTTTATTAAATTATTATTGAAAACAGAATTTCATGCTTGGTTAAGTGGTAAATTTAATTCATTCACTATGAAGAGACGGTAACAAATACGAATTTACCAGTATTACTTCTAAGAAAGGAGAGGAAGTTCAATATAGCTGCAAGTATCACTCTTCTCTCCCAAAACATTAGGTAGCATTCCTCCTCCTTAACAGAGGCGTATCAAAATACCACAAGGAAATAACCTGCTCCTTTTGGCAAGGAAAATCTAGCTTTTTAAACAGCGGTAGTTATATAAAATTAATTTTCCCCTTTATTTCTTGAATTTAAAGTGGTCCTGACTGCATTTGACAACTCAGAATAAATGCATTGTAAATAAAAGGTAGCTAGAGAAATTTTCAGTGCGTTTGAAAAATGAAAGGATAAAGCATTCACTGGAAATATGTTTTCTTCATACTATAATAGAACTGATGGAACCCCAGGCTGAATTTGTATTCACACCAGTTGGTTAGCATTTGCAACAACACTGATTTCAAATGTCATAATTCCAATTTGCTAATTCAACTAACCATCCTGTAAGCGTGTGAGGTTACATTGATACATTTAAAATCTTTTTTTTCTTAACAAAGTGATTAAATTGTTTTTGCAGCATTGCCCGATACAAACATGTATTTCAAGGCTGATGGTGTTGCCCCTTCTGGCTGAGCAAGCGCGATTTGATTTAAAAGTCCAAGTCAGTTCATGTGGTGAATAACCAGGATTAGACACCGAAATCCAGGCAGCATCTCTGGTCGATAACACAGCGAGGCGTTAGTTTAAAAAACTAAAAGCAGGGCAGCGGTAAATTCGTACATCACTCCTTTGGAGTGAGAATTGGCAACCTGCTGGTCAGTAGCTGTAATGGGCCTTTTCTGTGGGAATATTCAGAACGTTACAGACAAGAAAGGCCATTTGGCCCAACATTTTTCCCTCTAATTTACAATTTGCATCAGCTTTCCTTCCAATTTTTTTATGACGCTGTGTGGGTTTTCTTGTTCTTCTCCATAAAAAACAATGGCAGTGCAGAGTTTGGAAATCCCAGGGATACCAGATTGTTGTGTGTGAAATACAGAGGTAGGTCACTGGCACTGCTTTCATGTTACACTGTCCACCATTTCTTATCTGTCATCAAACTCACTGGCAGCACAGCTACTAGAAGCTTTGATATACCTGCACAAAGCTTTAAAATATCTGAACTGAATTTAACAACCTCTGCCTTCCACAGGAGGAACAACTATTCTTTTCTTGTAACAAGTCTTTGATTAATTGTCCCAGGTCTTGATATTCTTTTAGATGCAGGTCATTAACAAACGCATTGAATCCTTCTCTATTAATAAAGGAAGTGCTCTATGTAATAAAACATTTTCTCATTTAAATACTTTTTCAGTGCTTCGCTTTTTTATTATATTTGCAGCTGTTTTACAGTGCCTTAGCTGAAGCCTTCAGAAGTAAAGTGCACATGTATGCCCTTTATTAGCCTCTTTATCTTTGTCTATCATGATCTTAATTTTCTTTGAATGCCTATGTCCTTCTTTGATGGTTGCGTATGAGATTGCCAGTGCGACTCTCAAAAACAACAGTGCATTTTGAAGGATAAGATAGTGCCTGTGAAATCACTGCACTGCATTATTATGGCTTATCTTTCTACTTCCACAGTTTGCAGTCCTCATATGGATTTATTTCATCTGTGCTTGCGCATCGCTTTGATAGCGCCTTGTACCCTTACATCACTTGCTCTGCCTTGACTCGCCATAAAGCCTTCTACTTAAAGGATAATGTTCACGATGGGGGAAGTATACAAGGCAATAAACAGCTTTTGCAGGTGATTAAACACGCTGAAGCAAAGCCCAGGCATCTGAAAACCCCAAAAGCAGTTTGTTGTAAGCAAGGCTACACATCACAAAGAGGAGCTGTGCTCAACAAGCCACAACATTAAATGAAAGCTTTTCTTCACCTTGTCTTGCAAGACCTGCTAAGTTTTGTAGTGCTGCCTTCATTTAATCAAACAGATCTTTCCTTCTCCTTTCTAATAACGTGGGTGGCTTTCACTGTGCCAGCTGTGGTATAACAGGAGATAGTTCCGGTGCAGTTGCTTGAGATAAAAGCAGTGAAGTGTCTTTCCTCAAATTGCAATGGAGGTTCTGATGATAGCCCATTCCTCCCCTGCTCACCCTACAGGAGGGCCCCTTTCTTCCCAGCTCCTTATTTTACTCTCGCTCCTACTCTCTTCGTCTATGTTCCTTGCTTTCTTTTCTTGTTTTTGTTTTTCCTCTTCTCTTTTCAGTGGTGTCTTTACCTCTTTACATCAAAGTATTGCTCTCAGTGCCGGAGCCTGGAGCAGTTCTCACTGCAAGGAGGAGGTTAGAAGCAGGACTGCTGTGAGGCACAACCCTTGGAATGCCAGGGAGTCTGCTACACAAATGGCACTGCTTTCCTAATGCTTGGTTAACAAAAACAGAACTGCATTTTAAGCAAATATAATCTACTGAAGCACACAACTATCAAAAGTATTTTCTTTAGAATCTTTTTTAAATTGTTATTCCAATAGAGGACCATTTCATAAGCTTACATCTTTCTCTGGGATTCCCAATCAAATACAGACAATATAATTGCACTTGCAGTTTTTCAGCCCCAGCTCACCAGTACACACAGCAATTCCAAGCAGCAGCTCACTGAGGTTGCTGTCTCTTACCTTGTCCTTCAATCATTGCTACAAAAGCAACATTTTTATGGAAATGAATACTCATTTTGGTGTACAAATACATTCTAATAGTGTTTTCAAAAGCCCTGTGTTCATTGCATTGTTTTCTCAGATGAATATAAATCCATTGTAAACCTGGTTTAGCGAAGCTATTACTGAAACATGGATCTATCCTGAATATCTTTATCCACTGTGCCCTGTTAACTTTGGCACATCATACTTTGATGTGCTGAGGAAAGTAGAGGTAAAGACACCACTGAAAAGAAAAGAGGAAAAACAAAGGTCAGAGCCTGAATCACCAAAACTAAATACGGAGATACGGCATCCCTTAGCCTCTGAGCAGCAAGAGCTCTCATGGTCTGACTGGGATTATTCCTCACAATAGCTAAACCTTAAATTTTGTCTCTTAGTTTTGTCAATAAATGGGAGAGGAAGAAAGAAGAAGCCATTCCCATTAAAAAATTCTAAGAGGAAATTGTCCGAGATGTCTGGGACCCTACTTTTAAGGTGATTACCTTCCTAATGAGGATTTACAGATGTTCTGCACCCCATTTTCATCAAGAGAAGTTAATGCCAGAATCACTGTCTTTAAAAATCACTTCTTGTGCCTATTTGCATCTTAAGGATTGAATCGTTTTTTTAAATCTGCCCCTTTGACTTCTGCAGAGTAAATGATCACCTAAGGCAACGTTGTTCTGCGCTATAGTAAACAGATTTCTAATGTTGTATCTTCATCTGGATGTGTTCTCACTTCAGCCACAGTTAATATGAAATATACAGGTGCCTGAAAGGAAGATTGATTAAGTTCAGGTCGTTCATCGAGTATTTTGTGATTCACACCAGGATCTCATCCATTCCTTCTGCATTCATATTTTATGGCACTTCAACTGGTCAGTTTGATTTGACTCAACACTTCGACAGCACCTTTGGCTTGGCAGGTGCAGGTACATAACACAGATCATGGACTCAATTCATTTCCCAACTATTTATCTTATCCTGAGGTTATTTTGTGAACTTGTGGCCTTTAGGCTCTGAGCAGGTTAGCCAGGCAAAGGCAGGTGAAGCAGAGTGCCTTACTCACATGCACAATCTCATTACAGTGCTGCACATCACAATTGTGTTCCTAACAATGCAGCAATTACTTTTAAAGCCAAAATTTACAGATTAGGCCTAGGTTTACATGGTAATTATTGATTAGGACTGTTACCCCAAACTGGTACCTGACTCTATTCCTGGAGCAGCTCCATTTTTGTTGCTTGGCCCCTTAGGGCTGCAGTACAACCCCTGGCTGACACCTTCATCTCAGAAGGCTGGGCAATCTGGTGACCATGTGTTCCCAACAGGTCCTGCTTCCTACAAATCACATTTCATGTTCAATCTCTGACTTCATTTTGGTTTACAAACACACTAAAACTATTTTAAACTTCAGAGAAAGATGAAATAAAGTTCCAAATAACAGGTTCTGAGTTCTCAAGCTTTTTGCAGTCGATGTGCTGATGGTGGATGACTTCTTCCTCTGACTGCAATACTTTCAGCATCTGGCTTTTGTAAACAACAAAGGCTGCCCTGCAATGATTGTGTTTGGGCTGCGGCCGAAGCTG